TATTCTTGCATTCGCATTTGCGCACCCTAGGTAACGTGAGCAACAAATGGGCGAGTTGCGGTAACAGACCCATGTGTAACTTTGGGTCGCGTGAGAAAAAGTAAGGGTTCTGGTGGGGCAACTCGCACTTAATCGGTTTAACGACTCAATGAAGCCCGCTTTGTCTGTCCAAAATGAGGCGTGGCTGCTGGTTTTGAGACCCACCACGGTAAACATAAATTTCCAAAGAAAGGTAAAAGAAAGCCGACTCGTAGCAGTTACAATAAAAATCGCACACTTAATACATTCTGACAGAATGGTGGTTTGTTGTTAAACATCCAGCAATTGGACCGAGGGATATCTTCTAGAGAGGTTCTGAGAGTCAGAGTAGTCTTAAATATGCATATAAATACATATCCCGCATCGCACACGATTGATAAATACTTACCGGAATGTGTCCTTTTCTCCTCTGTACTTGAAGTTGCGAAAGGCTCAGCGTCTCCACATTCTTTCTTTATATTGGACGTTATCATATTTTCTCCATCACTGGTGCTCCCCTTTAATCGTTCGTCATTAATTTCGCCTTCGCCGATTTCCTGCTTTAATTTCAAATTTTCATTTTCATTAAGCACACCGCACACTGATTGTTCCTCTTTCTCTCGGCCAAATTCCTCGAAATCCTTTATATCCGCGCAGTGGTAGGACACACCAGACGACGAGCCCACCGACATTGGATATTCGCCATTGTAAACAGGCGTACTTTGTGTGCTGTCACTGCGGGCGCGCGTGCTGCAGCTGCTCACGCTGATACCGCTGTCGGTGCCGGTGGCGCTTATTAGCGGCGGTGAGGTGGTAAAACAGTCACTACTGTTGCAGCTCGCTGTCAATCGTGGAGAACAAACAGTATTTGTGCTGGTCAAATTGGTGGCGGAATATGATGCAGCGCTGTTAGCTGGGACATTAGTTACGCTATGCGGAGGCTGCCGATCTTTCTCCTCCTCCTCTTGGCACTCCCGTGCGTCTCTGCTTATTGTTGGCAACTCGGAAGATTCTCTGCTCGCCGGAAATATTTTCACTATGGGTGGGGTTAGCTTAGGGGAAAGCGCTTGACACTGTTGTGCTGCGAATGTGCGTGGCGAAGACAATGTATTATTGAATAGTCTTTGCGGCGTTGAGGAGGGCGATTGTGAAGTCGGATGTTGCCGATATTGCTGCAGTAGTTGTATTTGTTGTTGTTGCCTTTGCAGTTGCATGGTATAGGCGCTACAGTCAGTTGATGGTGGCCGCACTACATTTGGCGGTGGGGGCGTTGTTGTTGGCGCCGGTGATGGTGGCGTTGGTGTTGGCGTTGCTGGTGGTGAGCCACCATTCAAATGGGCAATTAAATGTGGTGTTGACCGCGCTGCTGGCGTATAAATTTGCTTTTGATGCACTAGCGCCGTATTGGGACCGTCACCATAAAGTCGCATTTGTGGCGATTCATTCCCCGCGAATAATTTTGTTTGGTGTAGTGGTGACTGCGACTGCAAATGCGGCTGTGGTTGCGATTGTTGCTGCTGTCGTAATTGTGGTTGTGATTGCGGTTGCGTGTGCTGTGGTAAAGCATATGGCGTATGCGTTAGGGAACGCTGCGGCTGCTGCAACGGCAGCGCACTCTGCTGATAGGGTGAGCCACGTGGTGGGTAATGCAGCACACTTGACGGTATTAATTGCTGTCCAGCCGGTGTGTACATACCCCGTATTGAGTGAGGCGGCAGGGACTGCTGATAGGACAAGTAACGTGCACGATTGCTGTAAGCGCTGTCAACTGGTCCACTGCTGGCAGAGATATTGCCAGCAATTAGCCGCCCGTATGCACTGTCATAGTACTGTCGTTGTTGTTGTTGTTGTTGGTGCTGTTCGGGAGCGTAGTGCTGTTGTATGTGCGTTGCATATGTTGTGCTATTAAAATGTGCCGGTCTGCCAAATGCGCCATAGCCGGAGGGATATGCTTGTGGATGCGGCGATTGCGCGTTTGGCGGATAGCTCATATTGGGCGTATGTGATGGCGGATAATCTTTATTGAGTCGTTGTTGCTGCTGATGCTGAAGCGCAATTGGAAATTCCATAGTTGGCGTTTTTTTTTTGTTTAAATTCTTTTTGGGTTTTCTTTGCTCAGTGCGGAAGTGATGTTAAATAGAGGCGACTGTTGATGCAATTTTTTGTTGTTGCCCTTTATAGAGATATGTGGCTACGCTTGATTGTCTTGCTGCCATAACTATGTAATTTATACTTTAAGCGTATTCTCTCCTGTGAACTTAGAATGTTTCAAGCTTTGTCGATCGAGTGAATTTGGCACTGGTACATGTTGCACATTTGATAGTACAAACTAGTATTGCTTCTCACGCAATTGGTACAAAAGCGCGTGACTTTTGAATCTATCTTGGGTTTTTTATTATATGCCATTGATACGTTCATTGTGTTTACTTTTTCATAACATTTTCCTATAAGTCTTCTCAGCTTTCAGAGCTTATGCAGGATTCAGCTTTTTTGTGCCTCTATAGTAAGCTTTTCCAAAACTATTCCCACTACTTTTTACTTTTCAATAACTCTGAAGTTCAACTTCTTTCCGGTTTTTGCATTTATGCCACGTATGTATGTATGTATGTACTGCCGTTGTGTCAATCAGGCGTTACACATACAATTTTAATCCTTGACTTACCACCTACCTAGTCACTCATTGTGCGAAATATTAGTCTACCAATGCAAAGGCCTGAAATAAAAATGCTATCTACCAGCTCGTTCGCTTCAGCTATGTAGTCAGTTCTAATGCCAGAGGCGGAAGCCTACCAACAATCTCTTACGCCTGTGTCCATTTTTCTGGACATAAAACGCCCTTTGGCTGCATAGGCAAATCCGTTGCTTCTAGCACAGCTTGAAGAACACTGTTCCATTTGTTTACTTTTCACTTTGCTTTGTTTGCCTTATACACATTTGTTTATTTCAATTTTCTTCTATGGCTTTTTGTTCGCTCCCAATGTTGGACAAAAGCTAAAATCTTCCCTTCCGGAAGTTCTTTTTTTCACTGTGAAGTTGACCATTGTACTCTTTTATCACAGCAACTGTTCACTCACAAGAATTTTTTGCAATTTTTTTCGTTGCCTCAGCTCAGTAACGTACTTTAATTTACTTGGTTTTGATTCTTCCTTATGTATGTATGTATGTACGTTCTTTTTTTGTTTGTTTAACATAACTTTTCACGATGCACATTCAAAGTTTTGATTAGAAATGGTTTGCTTTGTGTCCATTCAAAGGAATTTTCGCTGCATGAAGTTTACACATTTTTCCTGGGCAAAGAGAAAAAAAAAAGAATTGGATAGTTAATACATTGAAAGCAAGAATAGATAATGCGTAGGATAATCTTTTCAAAAATCTTATTCGTAGAAATCAAATACATGTGGGCCAATCCATGTCAAGTCGACCAATGGTTGGAATCGACCATTTTTGATTTGGATGAATCTTGGTCCTTTTGACATACAATAAAGTTCTGCCAAAGGAAACAAATTTATTTTTTTCATAATTATGGAAAATTCAAAATTTCACGATTTTTGAATATATCAAAAATATTATAGCTACACAAATTTCTCTAGTCTCATTTTAAAGGTGATCTTAAAAGATCCTGAAATTTTTTAAAGTGTTTTATAAAGTTATAAATTTTTGAGCTTTAAAACAAATTTAGGCCTATCAGTCTGTCTTCGTTTTTGCTGAAAACGCTAGGGATACTGATAGACCCGTACTTAAGAAACGCGATTCCAAGTGACTGTCATGAAAGGTCAGTGGATACCGCCCTGCACACATTGATAAAGTGGTTAGAGGAAGCCTTCACGCACAAAGAATATGCAGTAGGAGCCTTCCTCGGCCTTCAACAAAGTCACTCCCGAGGCAATAGTCAAGTGTATTTATAATCTGGAGCTTGAAACCAACCTATAGCCCTAATCGGAATTAGTGGAGCATTAGGAGCCACACCTACACTGGCGCTTTACGTCATGTTGAACACGACACCTGCGGATATTGCAGACAGAATTGCCGCAACACGAACTGCTATTATGCTCAGAGAAACGGATGGTAAAACTCTGAACTTCTGGAGGGCTTTGACTTCGCTCTGAACACATAGATCACAGCGCCTCCGAAATGGCTCCCAAAAGCTCCTTCTCTACCTATATTCCCGTAAGATAGGACTGGGTAGGGCGGGGTTACTCGAAGAAGGCAGCGGCAAACTTCTTCACGGACGGACGGAAATTTGGAGACAGGGTTGGTGGAGGTTTATTTTGTCGGAAACTCTCCACCAAAACTATGTTCAGGCTTCCGGACGTCTGCAGTGTCATTCAGGTGGAAATAGCTACCCTCAAGGAAGCGGTAGACTCACTGCTAAAGGGTGTGATAGTGCGCTCAAAATCGGTAAAGCAATGCCTGACCTGTCGATCAGTCACTTCGGAGTACTTCTTAAAAGGCTAGTTTAGGTGCCGGGTCACAGTGACATCGCGGGAAGCAGTCTAAAAAAAATATTAAAAATCAACGTGATTTTTTAGCCGGTTGAAACTTGCACTTCATCAGACTAAAATTGGATGGGCTATAAAACTGCATACCCAAAAATTTTCTAAAGATTCAGATTAACAGATTAAAAGAATTGATTTTTATGGAAATTTGTTGAATTTTTCTACGTTTTGCGTAAACTTCTGTCTATATAGTTTCTGTCAAAGCTTGGATAATATTTTTATAAAAAAATAACACCCAAAATTTAACTTGAAACACATTGTGAAGGAAAAAAATGAACACGTGGTCACTTGTTTGAGCCACTGTATAATTTAATTCAAGCATTTATCAAAAATATGTCTTCATATCAAATTTCAATGTCATGTGATTTACGGTATCGAAGTTATAGCTGATTAAAAATGTTACGCCTATGGGAGGTGCTACGCCCACTTGTGAGAGCCCAATTTTGTATACCCTAGTACAGATTAGTGAGTTCAAACAGACAAACAGATAAACAAATTCAACTAAAGGGGCATCATTTAATGCAGTGGCATTCAATTAAAGAAAATTGCATTAATGTAAACTTGCCTTGAGTAAATCAAATTTCTGTACCATCGTTAAGTTGTCGAAACTTAGTTCTACGCAAAGCAAACAAATTTGCGCAAACATTGATACGTACCTACATGTACATACCAAGTGATGATACATCGCTGTTTGCTCTACCCGGATAGAAATCAATTAAGTACTTAAAATTAGGTTGTATTTGATTTTTCGATTGCCTTGTGGGGTTGGCTTGTGTTTACTGTAGCGAATGTCTACCAAAAGTGCGCCGTTTTAAATTGAAAAGGTTAGTGAACTTCAAAAGGGTTAGTGGCGGCTGTCTCCGTAATGTGTTTTTAAATGCTTTTATTATATCTGATATATGTATGTATGTATGTATGCATGTTTATATTCCCTTAAGCTCGAATCGCTAAAAACTCGAAAATACTTTTCACGACATTATACTAATACTAGAACGCTCTCACCCGCTTCGCTGAGTGTATGATATTTCTACGTGCTACATTAGGTGTAATTTATTTTAATTAAACTCAACATACTTAAAATATGCGAAAATCAGGAGACTTTAAATTTTTTACATATCTTCAAAATATTTTCAAACTTAAACTATCATAAACCTCTCTCTTTTGATTCTTTTTCATACCTTTGTACATGTAGTTTAGAAGTGAAGCCATTTAAAAATCATTTCGATTGATACCCATATTGTAATAACTCATTGAAATGATTGAAAATTTTGAATTTTACGTTTTAAGCCGTTAATTCCTTTAAATCAAGTTGAATTTTAATTTCCAAACATGTGGAGTCCCTGCTATACATATGTTGCTTAGAAATAAAGCCTTTTCAAGACACTTTCGATTAAAACCTAGATTGTAATAACTCATTAGTCTTATAATTTATTTGTATTCGAATTTAGATTTAGAACAGGTGGCAACGCCCTTAAAAAACATCAGAAAACTCGACATGTTAAAGCTGAACATTTCTAATTTAAAGTCAACATTTAAAACAGGTGGCAACCCTCTTCGATATATTTTCCTACTGAAACCCTATTAAATCCCTCTTTTCTGACGTCCATATTGTGATACATATTTCAATTATCAAATTCCTTTAATTCAAGAAGAACAAACAGGTGGCAACCCTCGTACATGTAGTGTAGAATTAAAACCCTTATCAAATGCCTCTCGATTGATACCCATATTGTAGTAATTCATTTAAATTAAATGAATTTAATTTTTAAACAGGTGGCAACGCTTGTAAAACCTCAGTAATATTTTAAATGTTCAATGTGAAGGTTTCTTAGTAATCTTTCATTTAACACCCATATATTAATTTTTTCAGATAGATTGCTAATAATTAATTTAAATTTGGCTTTTCGAACAGGTGGCAACCCTTTCCAAAATACTTTCAAACTACAACTTTTTAAGCCTCTTGTTATCCATTCCTTAATATAGTGTTCAAATAAATAATTCCCTTAATTCAAGTCGAATTTGATTTTTTAAACAGGTGGCAGCCCTCCTCCATGAGTATGGAATTGATTTTATATACATTTATGCATCTATACCAAGTTCCTGTACTCTATCAAAAATATTTTCTGAGATATGATATGCGGTATAAAAATTCCGTTTTATGGGAGGTGCCACGCCTCCTTGTATAATCGAAATTAAATCTATCCTATATTTTAAGTATGCGCTGGGCATGAATCACGTATGACGACAATCGTCTGAACGATATCGTGTCCAGATTGTCTTGCTTCATGAAAACCAAAAATTTGTCGATCGATTGTCCGATATCGTCAACACGATTCCAGTTTTGCTTCACGTAACAGTAAAACTAACAGTAACACGTAACAGCAACACAAATGCATAAATCAGTGTTTTGACGACGTCGTTTTGTCAGTATCGTTTGAAAGGCAATCGTTTCAAAGTTACGTGATTCATGCCCTGGTAATAAAAAGTTTGTAACCGGTAAACAAAGTTCCTGTCAATTTTTAAACCCTTTTCGCATTCTGTGTACTCTTGTAACCAGTAAATTGTGTTACCATCTCATAAGCTGGTAAAAAAGTATTGCCCCATGAAATATGCAACGCCAGGATTTGCACAATTCTTCATAGCTAAATTGCTGAATATTTTAACTGCATTACCAACGTACCTAGAATCGCGGTGACAAGAACTGGTAACGTGCAGAATGTAAATGTAAATGGCACCAGTGTACAAAATATAATGGGAATTGGTTGAGGAGTTAAATCGTGAAAGCGTAACAAATAAACAAACTCACTTTCGGATTTATAATATTAGTAAGGATGGCTACAAAAACGGACCACTATTTACAACATATATGTAGCTCCCATTTATAAAACTTTATGTTCAGATATGAGAATTTGTGCTATAATTAAGGCATCTAGTACCGGGTTTCAGGATCCTGAATCTCGGAAGTTCCGAGCCCTTTTTTTAGTCCCGATAAAACCCTCGGGATCCCGGAATCCCGGGAATTAATTTAATTTACGACCAAATTAAAATAAAACGACATTCAGACACTGTAATGGCATAAGAGAATTATAAAAGGCAACGCTACAAATAATCACATAATATATTACAATTCTAACACTACTATTATTCTATGTTATAATATATATAACATATATATGAGGCATGCTTTTTCATATCGGAAGCCAAATTTGGTGTCACAATTTTGATTGGCTTCACATTTTTCCTTTTTTCTTCGGCTATATGATCTGTCAAATTTTGGATTTTTTCGTGATTCTGACTAAATAATCATGTACTTCTTCAAATGGTTATATCTCGGGTTCGGTTCATCGTAGAAACTTCATTGTTGACTCTCACAAAATAAACCACCTCGCCATAAAAAAAAAATATATTTTAAAAATAGTTACTGAAAAACTCCCATTTTTTGGAACATTTTCAACTGGTAATAGCTAAGTTAACTTTAGGACAATCATAACCATCATGTAGAAAGCCCATTTCTTTATCTTCAAAACGACGTTAAGATGAAGTCTCTACGATGAGTAGAGCCTGAGATTTAACGATTTGAAGAAGTACAGGAATGGTCAGAGTTACGAAAAAACTATTAACGATTTTTATGCATAAATCTCTATGCCTGGAGTTCAGGATTAGCAATTCTCATTAAACATCGACGATATATGTTGTGGCATACTAATATTACTACACCTATGTGTATATGTATAAATACTATATGTAAGTGTAAAGATGATCTGTTATTTTTTTTATTTTTGTAAAAATGA